GTGGATGAATATGTCAGAGCTCAGAGTAATATTATCCAAGTTTTTGTCTACACAGGCGAGGAAAAACTGCACAGATACCAGACGAGACATCAGAAGAGACTCCTGTTCGGTCAGGTGATTGGGTGAGGGTGAAAGTTCCCAAAACAGAGTGGGCTGATCCCCGGTGGTCGGAACCGTGACAAGTTGTAATGAACTTCACACGCGCTCCGGTTTAAAGGTAAAGAAAAAAGGAGCAAATTGACACCACCTCACACATTGTCACCCTTCACTGGCAACTTCCAGAGAAGTATTGGAAGCTAGGACTGATTTGGCAGAGCTGGAACAAAACAATAAATAGAAATAAGATTAAGATAGAAACTACAGGAAAGACGAATTGTCTTTAGATTTGTATAAGATTGCACACTAAAGTGAAAACTTATTTTTGTTGTGGGGGTCCCCTAAGGATAAGAGTCAGAATAGCATTGTTGATTGTGCTCATTACACTTGGCACCTTTCTGGTTGGATGGGGAGTACAATATCATGAAAGACATGGATCCATTAGTTCACTCATAGAAAATGCCCACATCACTAACAAAACACCAGCTGTGTTTCAGAGACTTTCACTTATCCCCAGAGCCAAAAGATCAGTTGAGCAACAAGAGGAGGAGTTAGAAATACTCGTTCCCAAAGATGAGGAGGTTACAATCAAGATGATTCACCCCCCCTATATGCAGTTCTTGTACCAAATGATGAGATGGGTTTAAGTGATCGGAATATTTAAGTGATGGGGATTTACAATTTAGGGGAATCTCCAAATACACTGGATCCATGTTTTAGTCTGTACCAGAAACACCCCCCGTTAAGACTATGGACAACCGACTGGTGACCTGAGCACAATTATTGAAAAGTTATTACAGTAGAAACAGGGTACTAACCCACGAGGACAACTGTATGTACAAACTCTATGAACAAAACCACCCCAACAGATTGTGGCGACAGTGCACAGATCCATCCAGTCACAAAAGTTACTATTGCTCTAAGTAATAGTGAGATTTAAAATATTGGAGAATATATGGGGACGTCCTTTTATAGTGTGTGAAATATGTGGTGCTTGAAACATGTAAGTATTTCAATTTATAGAAGAAAATGGTTTCCTGAAAGAGTTATTTGGAGTAGACGTGTTACGGTGGGAGAAAAACAATGTTTAGAGATATAGTACATTTATTAGTAGACATTAATTGTGTTTAGATGGCATTTAACAATTAAAACAGATAGTATGATTAGAAGATAGAGTGGAGAAGGTTGGATTTACTTTACCTCAGTGTGTTAGAATTTCTATAGGTAATACGTCCCGAGACCTGGACTCTCTCTCTCTGCCTGTCAGACTGCTACGACCCCTATCAGACAAAATACCTCACTATAGGAGACTCCTCCTCCTTCTCCATCGAACAGACAGAGAACCAGAGCTGAACCAACAACGACAAGACTGCATCCAGAACCATCTCCACCCGAGGCATCCAGAACCAGAACAGCATGCTGACATAAAGAGGCATACTCTCATCAGTCCCTAACCCAGGACATGAAGTTCCAAGCTGAGCCACGAGATATGGCACAAGAGCAGAGTGTGGGACATGAAAGCAGAATACGCCCTCCATACAACAGCGAAGAGACTGTAAAGAAGGAGATGAAATGCAAAGCAGTTGGGCCACTGAAAAGAGTACCAGCGGAAGGATTTAAGAGCTGATGGACTGAGGAGAAGACGGAACCAGAGGAGTTGGCATGGTCTAACAGAATGTGAGGGGGTCGTGGCTTGAGACAACAAGAGGAGGAGAAAAAGGAAAACGGGAGTGAGTGAGTTTATACATAAACACACTTATTCACAAACAAACTTGAATTGATTTGATAAATGCGAAAAGACAAAAAGATTTATTAGCCATGAATTAATGAATTGGTAAATTAAAATAGTAATAAAGAGGAAACTGTTAAAGTAAAATGAGGAATTAATCCTAAAACACACTGAGGGTACTGTGAGATAAAGGGGTAGACATGATGGAAATATTCACCACACTTTACACTTTAAGCAGTGAGTGTTTTGGGACTTAGGAGTACAGAGTAGAACATATTTTTCAATCTTTCCATCATGGAAACGAATTATTCCCTAAGACATTTTATTCATGGGTGAATTTGGTAAAAATCTAATGTGTTACAATATTGATCTACAGCTAAAGGGATAGTTTTAGTGACCACTCTATAAGAACAGACAAATCTGTGTTTGTTGGACGATGTTAAAGGGAGAGCTAATACCAAGCCAAATATAGTATCCCAATCTAAAGTATTGTTTTCGCCATTGTAGCATAGTTATTACCATAGGATAACTGTTAAGGTGGAAATAACATTTGTTTGTCCAAGATGTAGAGTTTTAAAGGACACTGGGCAAAGAGCGATTGCAAATTTAATTTTGGAAAAAGCAATATAATTGGGAGTAATACATGCGGGACCTTGGATCACTCATTGCAATGATGCATATTTTTGACAACCCATATCGTTTAGGGAGAAGGGGTCACTCAACCCACCCAGCAGTTGTTTTAAATCTTACTTGTAGCTTCACAGGGAGCGCACGGCACCAAATTATGAGTTTAAAAGACAAGCGCCACCACCTCCTGATGGTCATCCATTTAATCAGAGATGACCTGAAATTTAGAGATGTTATTTAAAGTAGAAACATATCCGCCATAAGTGAAAATTCCTAAATTGAACTACAAACCATGGATGAAATAACTACTGTTTTTAAAATCCTTGATAAAGGAGGGAGTAACTGTTACATGCTCGAACACCCAAGGTTCCACACACTGTTAAAGGGGTTAGCATAGTTCTTTAAGTAGACTAGAATTGAAGATAAATTAGTGTAATGAGTTATTGATATTCCACCGGTTTTCACACCATTTAAGGAACTTTATCACAGCATTAGAACAGACCACCCAAAGGTACTGAAGTAGGAACCATAAGTGATGAAATTCTCTAATTGTTGTAACTGACCAAAATCTTCTCCCAGAAATGACTGTCTGAAATGCCGTATCCCAGAGTAGATGTTTGATGGTATCATGGAACTAAAACCTTGTACGCAGTCTTGCCACAGGATTGGACTGGGACCTGTGCACTTGTACAGCCAGTGATGTTTTATATGCAGTACCAATGACAGTGGGGCAGTTAATCAACATGGCGAAACACCCCAAAACCAGTAGGGCTAAGAGACCAGTCAAAGGAGGGAGTTTAGGCTCCACAGTGTACAAGGATAGCATAGGGGTGCCCAGGGGAGTGCTAGATGTTGTAGTTGCATTCCATGTACCCGCACCCTAACTTACCGATTGATTACCACGGCCTTTTCTAGAGAACATATTACTTTCATACTTTAAAAAGTATGAAAGGGGGGAGGGTACATTTCTCATAAGGGAACAGTTTCAATTGCTAGCAGAACAAGACGACCCAACCCATATACAGATATTGATGAAAATGATGACAGTGTGTAAATGATGTTAAATGATATGGATGATAAATGATGAGATTGTTCAAAGAATGTCCAAATGTGAAATTTCAAATGATGAAATCATTAGAATAAAGAACCAGCTACAAAGTGGTATTACTTTGCACTATTCTAAAATAGTTTCTAACTTTTATGTTTTATACTGTTATTATTGATGCGATTCTCAAATGGTATGTTTCTTTAAACTTTGTAAAACAAGTGTCTTAACACTGAAAGTGGTATAGGAACGATTTCTGTGAAAGGAGGGAGTAAGAAATGTTCTAATACCACAAGTTGCTGCTATTTTAAAAAGTGATATTGAATGATTAAAACTAGAAGTTATGCAGAAGGGAAAACTTTTATGTTTGAAGACCAGCCAAAGTACTTTTTGTATTTGTTGTATTTTTGATGATGGTTATTTAAACCATTACATTCTGATTGTATGTTTTTAATATGAGTTATGTACTATGCAAAGTTCAGATGAAGAACTCATTAATTTTAGTATTGTGTTCACACCTTAAAAGGTGTGAAAGGAGGGATTGTTAGAAATTAAAATCAATGTTTAATAGCATAATTCAGTCTAAAACATATCGTCAGTTTAAAAGCTGTTTTATTGTGGAAAAACCCAGAAGTTCTAAGGAAATCTCAATGCCAAGCTTTTATTCTGAAAATCCTTCATATCCGGTTAGCAGTTAGCATGTGGCTAATAATAATACGTTTTCTGAATGTAAAGTGAAAATGACTTGGAGTGTTACACACCAAAACGTACAGACTTTAACACTACATCGATAGACGTTGAGATATTATTACTGCTGAGTATTAAATGAAGGTACAGTTGATCGTAGAGTGTTTACACATACGTGAGTAAGCTATGACGTCAGAGGGAGTTACCATAAATGAGAACTGTGCCGTAGAGGTGTTTCTAGGACTTCTAAACTAACTATTACAGCTGTTTATAAGGCATTAAATAGAAAGTCATCACAGAGATAAGGAGGAGAAAAGGCTTAAGGAAGTAGGCAGGGAATACAGAATGTCGAAATCATCTGTTCTCACGCGATATCGAACATTGAAATATGAGAAGGGCGGTCCCACTATCTGCACAGCGGGAGGGAACGAGAAGAGGATAAAGAAGATCGGAAAGTACAGCCCGGCCTCTTTTTCTACGCTGCAGCCCCCTGGAGACATCACCGGCTTTGTCTCTTCCTTACCCTTTGTTTGTTTCACTACCACGCTGCTTAAATTAAAGTAACCAATTTGAACCCTTTCAGAGACTCATTTGTCTCTTAATCTTTAAACTTCTTCCTGGACGCGAGAGAATCAGCACACATCAATAGTTTTATTAGCTTAATTTAACACAAAGTCCAACATGTAGAGTGTGAGGACGATTTCACTGGTAGATCATTAACTATTGCTGATGATGACAAGGAGCAAGAGTTCAACGTTGTTAATGTACTCTACTGGGTTTCATTAAACAGTTTAGATTATCAGATACCAACAAAACAGAATCCTCTTCAGGTCAGGTTACAGTAGAAACAGACTCTTACTTTGTGTCTGAGGGTCCAGGTTCATTTCTGAAGGTTGGAGGGTCCCCCATAGACCGGTCACTCTTCAGAGACAGACAGCTGGGGACTGAAGATTTGTCCTCTTCATCATCTTTTAAATCACTCATCTTCTCCAGTCTGAGAGATACACCAGTAACACTGGAGACACACACACACACACACACACACACACACGTTTCAATCTAAACCATCTTAATAATAAACTTGGTTCAAATACATGAAATCAGTCAGACAGGTTCAGACAGGCCGCTCGCCATTTTGACTGCGTCACATGTTATGAAACTCTGATGAATCAGAAAACAGGAAATGATAAAAGTTCACAACACTTGCAGAAGTCTCATTGGACTCTAGGATGCAGATTTTTAACCAAGAAGTTATTTTCTGACATCCAGTATAACAGAGTAAATAATGAATGTGTTAGAAAGCAGATCCTGGAGTGAACACTCACGCTGTTGTCCTCCTCGTGTCGAGCTGTAAAATGGCATCTGGCAGTCTGACAAGTCTGACTTCATACTTTCACTTTCAACTTCCCTCCCCCTCTGCAGCTCCTCCCTCTGATAGGAATCATGCTCAAGTTCCAACATAATAGAAACAAAAACATTGAAGACTTCAAAGCTTCTAGATTGGAGGTTCAAAACCCCCATTAAACACATACACACACACATGTAACCGGTGTGTCGTTAAGCGGTGTCTGCGTTGTAACCTTTATATATACAGTCTATGGTTGTAACAGCGACGTGCAGTCAGTGGAGGCAGGGGAGGCAGAGCCTCATACTCATACTCCAATGTAACGGAAAAACAATTAAAGAAAAACTAAATAATAATAATAATAAAATGTCTCCACTGATCTTGTGTAAATGTGATTTCTGTATGATTCTAATCGCTTTTTACAGTCAAAATCAGCAAATTTGCGGAGCTCCGCTACGGGAGCGATGAGAAGTGAGGCAGGCACGAGCACTGCCTCACGTAAGCCCACAGTAACTTGCTGGAGCGCGGGCACTAATTTAATTTACTGTGGGGTGAGGTGAGGCACAGATGAGCTCTGCCTCAATTCAGAATGCGTGACCCCACAGAAACTGGCTGGAAAGCGGGCCCTAAGCGCATGCCTGTTCCCATCTCACTGTAGGTCACCAATGTAATGTTTGTAGATCCCTTTATTACACTTATCCTCGCCATCCATAGTCTCTAAATAACTTATTTCACGTATATATGATATTTAGGCTCGCTGGTCTCATCGTACAACGGCAATGAAAAAAGCACCAGGAGAGGCAGCCATAACCTCTGTCGCACTGAAGGGGGCGCACGTGAGCCCACAGGTTCTTGTTGCTACTGTTATTCTACCGCAAACAACAAACTAGACTTTTGAAACTACAGGAAGATAAGGACGACTTTTACAAAACAGTAATAGAGATTGTTGTCCAGAAGGATAGCATGGACTTCATCTTCAAGTCAAGGTAAGACCACAACTGTAATGAAAATGGGATCTTACTTAGAAAGAACAATCCAATATTTAGATTTTGGGTATCCTTTTGTTGATCGGTCTGTTTAAAATGAATCATAGCATCAGACTAAAAAAGCTTTTGAAAATAACAGAATATTTCGATTAAGGTAAAAATAGGCTATAATATTTGTAAATCTGACTCTGAAAGAGTCAGTGCCTCACCAGCCATGAACCTCACCGCACGTCACTGGGTTGTAACGTGTTGATGATGGATGAGACCCGAGCCAGCACACAGTTGAGGCGATCTCCGTTTATTCAATGATAATCTGACAATATACAACAAATCAGTCGTCATTCAATTGTTTTTCTCCTCACACCAACTCTTCTCACATGGAACATTCGCAAAAAGGGAAGAGGAAACGTGAGGGACACAGTATGAATGGGGAAGTCCCCACAAAAATAATCTTCTGAGTACAGTGACTACATTTCAGAGGTTCCGCCCACTGATCTCAGACCTAGTCAGATATTAAACGTTCAATAAATGAAGAACACAGAATTATTAAATATAAAACACAGAATTTGTGTGATTATACTAAATGATTTACAAATGAACACCGCTGCATATTTACACACACACACACACACACACACACACACACACACACACACACACACACACACACACACACACACACACACACACACACACACACACACACACACACACACACACACACATGTTCATCAACTTTAAGGTGCATACCGCCACCTACTGTACAAGAGTGTGTATCACCATGTCAGCCTATCACCACTTGTGGAAGTATACCACTGTGTTTACGTTATTTTAAATTCTTGTAATCAACCCTGTTTCACTCAAATACTTACAAATACTAAAAAGTGCCTTCCTGGTACCCTCTCCCCTTCTGTCCCTAGTTTCCGAAGCCTTTAAGATGATCTGTGGAGATGCATCAATCTGTTACACTTTAAGAGGAAAATAGGCTAATTTCACGAAAACCAAGCAATTGAAACTTAACAAAACTGATATTAAAAAGGTAAACAATAAGGCTCCTCTACTTCAATAAATGCAAGAGATGTAGCATTTTCTCAACAATGTTTAATTTACATTTTTTATCTTCCTCAGACGTCACTCATTGGGTGACAGCCCAACGATGATTTGGACTTTATTGATCCCCAAAACACAAGTCACAAGCCTTGGTATCTTTCTAACTTTAACAAACTTCAGTTTTTTTTCCCCCGTTTAAAAAAACCCTCCATTGTAACAACAACACGGTTATCTCTGTTTGCGTGATCTCATTGCTTTAGTGGAGAAGAGCTTCAAAATCTAAAATCTCAAACCTGTTAGAAATCCCATCCATTACACTCCTGTTTCTGAGGTTTAGGGAGTAGCAAAACCTTTAATAGCAAAACCATTTTTGACGCTAATAAACATTTAGGCCTATGTCTGGCTCTTGAGGGCTCTGAAGTGAAGTGTACTTCTTGTGCCAAATACAGCAATGAAAGTAAATCAAAGTTTATTTAATTAGCCCAATATCACACATTTTACTTTTGTCTCTGGGGGCTTTAAGGTGTATACCAGTGTTTCTCAAACTTTTTTTTTTCTTCATACCAAGGTCAGGACCACTTAACCAATAAAAAAACACTCGCGGACCACCTAACTCCATAAATATCCAAAAACACATCGTTTTTCTAGAACAGATTACAAATCGCCTGAAAATGGTACAAACAAGTGGCAACATGTGTGACGAAGGTGTTGCGCTGGGCTATATCATGCAATCGGAGCGAGCTTAAGTGAAACTTATCTTCCCCTGCTCCAAACGGTCCAAACAAACTAGGAATAGCATCGTCCTTCAGTTTCAAATGCTGTGCATATCCGGCCTCCATTGCGGAGACATTCCCGCGAGAGTGCGGAAAACTTAAAGGGGACCTATCATGCAAAATGCACTTTGTGATGTCTTTTATACATAAATATGTGTCCCCGGTGCGTCGGGGAACTCATGCAGCGTCAGAAAATAAAACCCTCTCTCTTTTCCTCCGTACCCAAATCTTTTAAAAACGGGTGTACAACGAGCGGATACAGTTTTCCATCCTCTGTGACGTCGGCGGACCCACAGAGAGTTGCTATCAGAAACAATGCCTGACGTGTTTTGGACGTAATCTCGTCTTTGTTTACATTAGCAAGCCTCGCTAACACTCAGAGCTAACCTGTACTGGAGAGTACATGTGTTTAAAAAGCAGGAAATAAAAAAAGGAACTCACCTTGTGATAAACCTGCAAGAGAAAAAGCATTTGAGCTCCATACTGTTTCAGAAATAATCCTTGACGTGGTTTGGAACAGGATGGATCTGCGTTTCTCTAACAGGGCTGCAAAAGAGGGGTTTGAGCAGTATGAGGCATGGCTACAATGGGTGATCTGTTTGGTATTTTGAAAAAAAAACTTCACAGACATGTTTTATATAGGTATGGCCCTACAATATATGTTTTAAATATAGCATGATAGGTCCACTTTAAATGTAATTATTTATTTAAAATGTGAAATTGTACCAATATACTCACGGACCACTAGGGGGCGCTCACGGACCACCAGTGGCCCGCGGAACACACTTTGAGAAGCACTGCAGAACGTGAATATGCCGGAAATTCCAGGTGATGTGAGCTTTTAAAATATTTACTGAAGAGACAACAGTCACTGTGGTTCTCCTCGCACTGTGTACAACTTGACACAAAAAGTCAAAATAAAAGGGGAACGGTCAGAAGAAGTGAAATAAAATATGATAGCAACTCAAAGATATTGTTAAAGACACGTGCCCATCTTTCAGAGAAATTGAAAGTGCACTTGTTATAAATGTTATCGTATCCACAGAATACAAGGATACAAGCAAAACAACATTGTGTGAAACACGCACAGAAATTAATAAATATATTAACGTTAGTAAAAATCAGAGATGGCAAAAGTGCACACATCCTTTACTCAAGTAGAAGTACAGATACTCGTGTTTAAAAATACTCTGGTAATCAATCAATAAATCAATTTATATAGCCCAATATCTCAAATGTTAAATTTGTCTCAGTGGACTTCACAGTTTGTACAGAATATCAGTATGACAATACGACACCCTCTGTCCTTAGACCCTCACATCGTACAAGGAAACACTTCCAGAGAAAAACCCACAGTTTAAAGGGGAACATGGGAGAAACCTCAGGGAGAGCAACAGAGGAGGGATACCTCTCCCAGGACGGACAGAAGTGCAATAGATGCCGTGTGTAAATCGAAGAGATAATACATTTACAACATAGGTAGTCCAAATGTTTGGAAATGCATGTGTCTATAAGAAGAAGATGAATCCACGAGGATGTCAACAATCCTGTGGGAGCCATCAGGGAAGTAGTATGATGAGAGTCAGGCAGGACCGCAGAGACAGGTTCAGCCACGACTCGAAGTCCAGGACTCAGATCTAGGACTCAGGACTGGTAAAAGTAGAAGTACTGACTAAACTTCTTTACTCAAGTAAAAGTAAAGAAGTATGGGCTCTGAAATGTACTTAAGTAAAAAGTACCCATAACTAGCAGCTGTTTTAAAGAGTACCTGACCTCCCTTTATATTAATAGAACAATAATGTCATTGTGAGCTAATGAATGTTTCCATGCTGAACAACGGCAACATGACAACGT